TGACACATTATGGCCTAGTCAATTGCATCGTCGGATACCCACAATTGATAAACATGTCGCATAACATGCAATCAACCGTGGGTAAAATGAATCGATTTGCGTCGATATACAGCAACAGGTGCGTTAAATATCTACCAATGACATCGCGTTTAACAAATCTATATTCTTCAACAACGGAGGTAAAAAACAATAAAAAACAAAATGACAGCGCCCACGGTTAAAAACTGTTGTACTGCCTTGCTGAAATCAATGGCAAAAACTATCGCCAAATCAGTTCTTCTTCAAGCAGATATCAATCAGAAAGGAAAACACCACGCTGTAAAAGTAAATTATCTATACTTTCTTGCTGGAAATCGTTTAATTTTTCGATGTTGAACTTTTAACGTCGTCTATGGTTGTCTGTAATACCGAACGTCGTACAGAACGAGCGTTTTGATTGGTTTTAATCGCCTCATGAAATCGTGAGGCAGCCAATGAAATAGCTGCCTTTGACACACCTCTAATCGACTGAATATCGGCAAAAAATCCCACGGCTGATAAATGTTAATGGTTCGGCCGTGGGTATCCGACGATGAGTCAATTGTGGAAAAGAATAAATAACAATACCCTAAATCTCAGCCAACTGCAGAAAATTTTGATATTGACGACTGATATAATTTTTTCAAAAGTTTATATATTGTTCAGATAATACATATTTGAACGATGAGGACCTAAGCGATTAGATGATGAAGACCTCGAATGTCAGAAATAAAAGAAGCGATCTATTCACAAAATGATAATAAAAGTAGTGGTACTGATCACAAAAATATACCACCATTTATTTCGATTTATTTCATATATAAAACTATAATTGTATAACATAATTTATGAATCTGGAGAATACCCAACGTCATGTGGTCAGGATTCTTAACCAATATTGAAGAGAAGGGACAGTAATGAAGCAAAAATTACTGAAAGATAACACTTATGAATATTCTTGCAAAAATATATTCTCAACTCTTATCGAATCGTCTTACAAAATAGTCTACCAAATATAACAAAATATTGATAATCAATATGTGGAAAATAAACAGTCGACTGTACTTTTCTTTTACAAGCTATTATTAATAAATTATTATGTTCTCGTAAAAAGCTTTTACTGTGCATTCACAGATTTTGAAAAACGTTTTGACAAATTAGAAAAATATTGAATACAATTAACTAACGCAATTTAAATAATCATCACATAATCTAGAAATTTTAAATTTGTAGGCACAACTGAGTTCCAAGAGAAAATAGATTTTGTCAACAATGCAATATGCATGTCATAGAAAATAGATTCCATTCTTTACTCGTTTATCGTTTGTATTCTCATTGGATACCGTCCCAGTTCATTAAGTAATTCTTTACAAAAATGCTTAAACGGTTTCGGTCTGTTTAACAACCACCAGGTTGAGGTGTCGTTATTTTTTTCTATTTTTAGCTTTAATAAAAGAAATGAATTAACATATACCACCATTTGACTGTTGGAAAAAAAAACCGTAAACGCTACAAATCGTTTAAGCCTTACTTGGACGACGATATTGAATAACTGTGGCAGACCGTATGCATCTAAGAGCGGAATTTCATGCGTTTTCATGGTGATCGACGCACGTGTCTACGATTGCAAAGTGAATTCACCGAGACAAGACGTCTGTTCGTTAGACAGTTACGACGCGCTGAGCGAGTCTGCGAGCGAAATATTTCGATCGACATTGAGAGAACTTGCACAAATTACCCTAGAGCATTCTGGGATCATATTAAAAATCTCGGTCCGACACGGAAACCTTCGACACCTCTTGAAGTGTATGATGATAATAGAGATATCATTAATTATAATGAAATTGTGATTAAAAAATGGTCTGAGGATTTTAAAGATCGATATAATGTTGATGAAAATTGTGATCATTTTGATAACCAGTTTTATGAGGAAATTCAAAGAGAAAAACGTTTTATTGAAATCAGATGCTCGACCCCTTTTTCGAAGGAAATCCTGGTCTTGATTTGCCCTTGAATCGATATGAAATTGAAATTGTTGTAAAAGCCGCCAAAAATAGTAAAAGCACATTCCATGTGAAATGTTAAAATTTCCAATCATCATATATGTACTCCATTTACTTTTTGCTTGTGTTTTGATACGGGTATTGTTTTGTCCTTATATCGTATATATTCAGATTATAAGAACACATAATAGAATAAGAATAGTTGCCACATATTCCATGTCATAGGTATCAACGGAAGTACATGTATATATCATATTGCATCTATTTATAGACTAGATTACAACAATACATATATAAGTTGTCACAGGTCTTATACCAATTATATGGCTAAAAGCAATGATTGCCCCTATACCAAAAGATATTAATAAATATATACATATACCCTTGGATTAAGGAGCTATAAGTTTACTCTGGGTGGTTAGCAAATTATATTCAGCTGTGTTAAATAATAGAATAAAAAAACATTTAGAAGATCGAGAAGCAGACCGGATTTCGTTCAGTTCGTGAGGACCATGTTTATACCTCATGTACTATTATTAAAAATATACTTTTGAGTAAATTTGATACATTTGGAATTTTATTGATATAAAAAGGCATTTGACATTGTCAAAAAGGATGTTCTTTTATATAATCTTTCACTTAAAGTATAAATGGAAAATAATTATAACTCAATTAAGGCAAATTTGACGGATACATCGTCTTTTGTTAACGGACTGATTCCCGACCCTGATTAGAGTAAAGCATGGAGACAGCAGATCGCCAACAATCTTTGCTTACTTCTTAAACAATTTAGCTGAAAGTTTAAAGACCCTTAACAAGGTTGTACAGTTTAATAATGACATACTTTGTTGTTTGTTTTATGCTGATGACATGTTATTGTTGTCTGAGATGATCAGGATATGCAAGACATGTTAGATTAAATCACAGGAACTTGAAATTCTATTAATATTAAAAAATTAATGATAATATCCAAAATTTACCCCCTTTACAGTATAAACAAGCAATTATCATAGTATTGCAAGCAATCCATAAGTCCCCTACCGGTAAATGCCCAAGCAACATTCTGAAGGGCCATTGGCCATTCACTTATGTTTCTATTTTAAGTGATCACAGTAAACAGTTTTATGTACAGACAGACAGACAGACTGAAGGACACTCTAAAGTTATATTTCAAACATCCCTGTTATCAAAATATAACATTTTGAAAACAAAAGCGATTAGTAATCACATGTGTCGCCTCATGATGGCCAATTTCATGTTGGGACAAAGTTTGTGATAGACGGACAGACAGACGGCCAGTGCATAACTAGACTTGGTACAGATCATTCCTGTAAAGTTTGGATAAAATTGCACCAGTAGTTTATGAGTAGTCCGGACAAGCTTTTGCGTTTCTGGCAACACACAGAAAAAACATATTTTTATCAAAGGGCCATAACTCGGCCAAAAATCATTCAACCGGAAACCCCGTGCAATATGCACAAGGACTTGAGCTACAAATCAATCCTGTAAAGTTTCATTGAAATTGCTTTAGTGGTATAAGAGAAGTAGTCCGGACAAACTTTAAAAATAAAAATTATTAAAGGGCCATAACTCTGACAAAAATCATTGAACCGGAAAATGCTGATAATATGTACAACAAGACTTGGTATTGATTGTTCCTGTAAAGTTTGGATGAAATTGCAACAGTAGTTTATGAGGAGTAGTCCGGACAAGCTTTTGTGTATCTGGCAACACACAGAAAAACCCACCTTTTTACATTTTGCGTTATCGCGGGATCCAGTTTTGTGGACGGACGGACAGGCGGACGGACGGACAGACAGACGGACGGTAGGTAAACCTAAAGTCCCCTCCGGTAAACCGGTAGGGGACTAATAAACACAAGGAATGAAACGCCTTTTCCCAACCCCACATAATTTCCGCCGAAGAAATCAACAAAACAACGGATCAAAATAATCTATCGGGCAATTTTGATAAACAATACATAAATGCATCAAATACCACCGATAACTTTTTAATCGCGTAGATATTGTCTGCAAGATAACTTCATATACGTACGCTATTATCTACGTTACGTTTTACCGCGCTATTTGACGTCAACGTCACTTCTGACGTTTGTTGTTATTGTTGATATATTACTATAGAGATTTTGTACACATTGAGTCGAGAGTCAATACAGATCGAACCTACACAGCGCCTTTGTTTTATTACTTCCAATATACAAAACCACTTCCGCATTGGTGCCGTTTGTATAGATATTGCCTAATCATGAATCTGCAGAAACTTATTTCAACAAAAGAAGGTGATCGCAGAAATGTGCAGAGAAAATTAGCCGCAATAGATCAAAGGACTGAATGAAAATATCATCATCAATCAGTGTGACGATATTGAAACAGAAATCGTAGAAAGTGAAGAATATTCATACGATTTGAATATAGACTCATGACTTTACAAACAATAGTTCCGTTGATCAAGAAGACAACCCTATGGCACTGCGGCATACGAGATCGAGTACAATTGCGCAACATAAACTCCCAAAACTTACCATATCTATTTTTTACGGAGATCTTACCAACTGGCAGACTTTCTGGGACTTTTATGAGACATAATAAAAGAAGACTCATTTTTCATCTATATTCTACGTTATCGAACGTTCAAAAGTTCAACTACTTGCGATCTCTGGTTCAAGGTATAGCAGCACGGTGTATAGACGGGTTTCCTTTGACGAATGCGAACTGTTCAAAGGCAGTGAGTTTACTAAGGGAGCACTTCGGACAACCACAGAAGATAATTCATAGATACATGCAGTCCTTGCTTGAACTTCCAAGACCTAGCAACAATGTAGTAAGTTTTTAATGTTTTTATGATAAAATATAAACATTTATCAGAGGTTTAAAAGCACTTGGGCAGTCACAGGAATCTTACGGTAGTTTATTTATACCAATCATTTTAGAGAAGTTCCCATGCATAATGAAGCAAAATATGGCACGTGAACATCGGAGTGTAAACTGGGAATTACAAGAGTTAAGGTCAGCTATCTGTAAAGAAATTTCTTTCATGGAAGCAGGTATTCCTACTACTGATATTAACAACCGTGAAACTGATGTTCATATTCCCACAGCGTCATCCTATACTGGAACCAGACAAAGTACAAATGAACGTAAAAATGAATGTAAGAAAGAAGTCAAATTTCGGAAAACTTTCAAGAAAGTTTGTACTTTTTGTAATGATGAACATTCCCCAAACGAGTGCAGAAAGGTTACATCATATAAATCGCGTATAGACATTGTTAAAAAAGAACATTTGTATTTTATCTGTTTACGGAAACATCAAGTATCGGCATGTCGTTCCACAAATAGATGTCGTCACTGTCAGCGCAAATATCATTCGAGAACCTGTGACAAATCTGCAAAGCCATCAAACTCAAAGCTGAATCCCAATGCCGCAAGTTTCACCATACCAGCTACTTCCAGTGTTTCAAATCAACACGAAGCTGCAATTCCACACTCTATCACTCAGCTAGGACATAACGTTTTTCTGAAGACAGCCGTTGCTTTTGATGAGGTATCTCAGCGTTCTTTTATCACTGAAGAAATAGCGGAGAAACTACAAATTGAACCGACCGGAAGTGAAGTCGTTCACTTAGCATCGTTTGGTGATACAAGCCAAAGAGTACGATACATGAGAAAATGTTCTAAAATCTTATTACAGACGACTTTGAGAAAAGCATTGATGTTTTGATTATTCCAAAGATAGCCGTACCGCTGCGAAATATTAATCAGAATATATCAGCCCTACCATACTTTCACGGTTTAAAGCCAGCTCATCCAGTTACAATTGACAGAGATTTTGATATATCATTACTGATTGGAGCAGATTCATATTGTAAAATAGTTTAAGATAATGTAGTCCGATGGAATGGTCCAACAGCGGTGCAGTCGAGACTTGGATATCTTTTATCCGGTCCACTTTCGGTTTCAAACTCTCCAGCGTCAAGACAACACCAACTTTCGGTTTCTACACTTACAACGTCCATATCCCAACAGCCACCAGTTGCCACACAAGAACCGTCCACCCATTTATTGAACATTATAACGACATCCCCAGATTCCTCTGATATTGAGAGATTTTGGAAGCGCGAGTCCCTGGATATATCTCAAGAAGAAGAGAACCCTGAATCTACATACCTGGAAAACTACCGGCATGATTCAATCACCTACAATAACGGACGTAACACAGCCAAACTGCCTTGGAAATAAGATCACGCTGTACTATCAACGGATTATGAAGTACCAAGAACCGCAATGAAAACGTAATGAGACGTTTCCATCAAGACTAGTATTTTAGTATTCTACAGACGTATGGAGAAATAATCATTGATCAAGAAAAGAGAGGTTTTATTCAGAAGGTCGACGAATGTATCACGACACAACCTAAGATAAATTACTTTCCGCACCACGGCGTCAAGAAAGACTTAGTCACAACACCGATACGCATCGTACATGACTGTAGTTGTCATCAGTCACGTGACCAACCAAGCTTAAATGACTGTTTGAAGGCTACGCCACCAGAGCTAAAAGATCTCACTCAAATTAAAATAGAGAATGCTTTTCTACAAATACAGCTTGCAGAAGAAAACTGAGATGTAACAAGATTTCTTTGGTTAAGTGACCCCGGCAGTACTTTGACCACCAACAGGTTTAAAGCAATTCTGTTTGGTGCAACATGTCCCCCGTTCATTCTTAATGCAACAATTTTAAAACATCTAGCAAGTAACCCCGATATATGGGTCAGTAGTATTTTAAGAAGAGATTTGTACGTGGACAACGTTTTGTCCAGCTTTGAAGATGAAAAGCAGGCAGTTTACTTCCAAGATTCACGAAAGCTTATGTCGTCTGCAAACTTTAACTTACGCTCTTGGAATTCAAATAGCCAGAAACTACGAAATTTAGCATAAAACTACGACGTACAAGATACAGCTAAAATCACAAAGATACTTGGAATGCGATGGAATATAGAGACATACATGTTGATTTTTCAATAAACCTATTTACCAGCCACAGCTGCTACAACAAAACTAGAAATCTTGCGACAGACGTCAAAAATGTTCGATCCTCTTTGATTGGGATACTCCACTTCCAGAAAAATACAAAAGAGGTGGAAAAAATCTTGCTGCAAATTTGACTACACTATCCACCACACAATACAGACGTTACTATTTTCCGGGAGCAGACGAGAAAATTAGACAAGCAGACGACCATTCACTTACTACTTAACACGTGTTTGTAGATGCTATTCAGTCAACATATGGAGCTGCAACTTACATTTCCAATGGTGAAAATTCATCACTTATTATGGCAAAGAATCGTGTGGCACTTCTTAAAAAACATCGACTTGAATAAATGGCAACTGTAATAGGCGCTCGACTTTTAAGCCACATAAAGAAGGCATTAAAACACATGAATTTCTATCTGTGGTCGGATTGTTTTACATTGGTTAGAAACAGTTAAAACTTTGCCCTACTTCGTAAGGTACAGAGTCGAAGAAATAAAAAAACTGACCGGGACCGGAAATGGAAATACTGTCCATATTTACTTACCCGTGGTATAACAGTGACCCAGTTTGTTAACAGCCTTTGGTAATATGGACCATCCTGGATCAACAATCAATCAAAATGGCCTCATACCAGAAACAAGTGTGTAACTGCATATGTGATTCATACAAAACAGCAGAATTCTAAAAAAGCTCGACGACCTGTCCCCCAATGAATTACTTTAAGCTGAGAAAACATGGCTAATAGACTGTCAAGCCAGTACTTATCCAGCAGAGAGCAGCAACATGAGATCAAGTAAATTCCGCTCACAGCTTGTCAAACAACTTCGACTATTTTTATATAACGATGGCGGAATCCGTTGCGGAGGTCGAATTCACAATGCCCAACTGGTCGAGAGTTCGAAATTCCCTTACCTGTTACCATCAAAACATAAATTTACCCGTTTGCTTGTACTTCATTACCATCAAAAATTACTACATACTGGAGTAAATTCTACAATAACTTTTATATGACAGAAGTATTAGTATAAGATACCTGCTATTCGTAAATGTTTAAAGACTATTCTTCGCAAATGTGTCACTTGCCGGAAGGTAGTTGGCCAAGCATACACACCCCAGATCCTCCTCCATTACCCAGATATCGAGTAGAAGATACCGAACCAATTACAGCGACAGGTTTAGATTTTACAGGCGCATTTTATGTCAGAACTAAAGACGGAATGGAATCAAAAGCATATATTTGTTTATTTACGTGCGCCTCCGCACGAGTGGTGAACTTAGAACTCGTGCCAGATTTGACAGAAGATTCCTTTCGACAAGCATTTAGAAGATTCAGCAGCCTTTTTACCACATGTCATGATCTCTGATAATCCTTCAACATTTATGGCTGCATCCAACCATATACTGTATAGCGCATTATATCTGCGGTGTCAAATGTTGGCGTTTTTAAAAGTGTTTTGAATTGGCGGGGTCATAAAATGGCGCAAACGCTTTTAGACCGCCAAATTAAATTGCATGCACAATGGCTGGTCAAGGCTGTTTCTAAACTAGCCACAAAGCCCGACATCATTGCCGAGTCTTTCTCTAAGACAGGACTATAAATTTCGTTAAGTAATTAAATGTACAAAGTGTAACATGATTCCATATCTGATTTTTATATGACATTTAGATTTGTTTCTCGTCGTGTGATCATCTTCGTAATAAATACAGTATATAGATATATAATTAAATGAGTTTCGTACCAAGACTTAAAAATAAACAAATTCTTTTCAGCTTACTTGTAATGTTTATTTTTATTACAAATAATCAAGGAAGATTACTCGGACAAACCAAAGCTATTTTTACCATGAGTTGTCTACCTTTCAAAGAATAATGGCGATGATCTAAAATGGCGGTGCTTTAAATTGGCGGTGTTTTGAATTGGCGCTACTGACCCTGACCGCCAATATAGCCAAATATAAACCCCCGCCAAAATCCAAAATAAGTACGTTACACGTTTGTTTGAGTCCGACATGTGCATGACACACTTACCAGTCATGGTATCATGTGGAAATGCACCTTGGTATGGAGGATGGTGGGAAAGGCTGATTAGACTCACAAAGACAGCACTCAAGAAAACCCTAGGCCGTACCTACGTTACACACGACTCTTTGCATACTGTCATAACCGAGATAGAAGCCGTAATGAATGACCGTCCGTAACATATGTCTTGTCCGACAATCGCCGAGAACCATAACCATTAACACCAGCCCATCTTGTTTATGGCGCATAACTCCATTACCGTATCATGACACTGTTGATGATACGGACTTAAGTTTGAACCTTGGGAAACAACAGAACATTACACAACGTGCCAAAGTTCAGATTAAAATCATAGAAGACTTCCGTAAGAAATGGAGACAAGATTACCTTACTGCTCTTCGTGAACAACATCGTACTTCCGGAGAAAATAAACAATCCATATCAGTTGCTGACGTAGTACAAGTTCATGATGATGTACCACGTGCACAACAGAATGGCGGTCGTTGAACAACTCGTACTCGGTAGAGACAGACTCGCTCGGTCGGCAAAAAATTAGAACAGACAGTGGTGTTACCAATAGACCGATATTGAAACTTTTTCCTTTGGAAGTTAAAGAACTTTAACTATGAAATGATAGAAGAAGAAGAAGAAGAAGATTTTTTTTTATTTCAAAATCCACATGTCAACAACAACAGTCTGGTTTAAGCTAATAAGCCCTTGACCTGACACAAAATAAAAATTACAACATTCTCAGAAATACAATACATTACACAATACATTACAATACAATGACGGACATTGAATAATAATATATAGAGGATATTTGTTTAGTTCAGCGTAAGATCGGAATTTATTTCATGCTTTCCAGTGTTTTACTGTAATATAACAGATGATTATATTCTGATAAACCACTAGTGAAATTTATAAAATATAATTTTCACTGTAGCCGGACTATATCTGAATGCGGATGAAAAGAATATCATAACTAAATGGAATAACAGACAAAAATAAATGCCGTCATACGTAAATGTTGCTTCTTTAGGAAAAGAAAGTCGGTGTCATCATACATCATGTTAAAAATGTAACAAAATAAGAGAAATTTAACAGAACTATATTTCAAAACTGATGATGTGACGTCATGATTGATGACGTCATAAAGGAGAATGCGCGACGTTACGCGGCAAAATCAGTAAAAAATACTTAAAATCCCTTAAAAAGCATGAAATAAAAAGAAAATTTATTTGTTTAACATATAAGATTGAAATATATTTCATTCGTGAACACCAGCTATTATATTTTCACTCGTGGCTACGCCACTCGTGAAAATATTGCATCTGGTGTTCACTCAGTGATATTATATTTCAATCTTACATGCAAAACAAACAAATATCCTCTATATATATCACCGAGTGAGCACCAAAAGGTATATTTCACGAGTGACTCAGCCACGAGTGAAATATGAACTTCTGGTGTTCACAAGGTGAAATATATTTCGATCTTACACTAAACTAAACAAATTTTCTTTTTATTACATGCAAAGAAACGTTTTAAAAAGACATTAAGCCTAATACTGAATGAAAAGCGCGCCAAATAATAATACAACGTGACGTCATTTACGACGTCACGTCATTAAGTTGGTACCCAGTACTGCATTGTATACACACCGGTCTCAAATATCGACCTGTGTCTTACGACGCATTACTCACCCCAAATGAGGGTAAAAATGACTCCGACAGAAAGAAGTCCGCGTAGGGATGACAATCTTATTTCACAAACCACAATATATCTTTTCAATTGATTAAAATCGTTTATTGCTTTCAAGGGATCACTGTTTCCCTATGGAATGCCGGTAGGGACATGCCAATTTGCTTATTTGTCAATTGCTGAATTGCTTATTTGCTAATTGCCGTTTTGCTTATTTGCCAATGGCTGATAGGCTTAATGACAAATGTGCTTATTTGCCAATTGTTGAATTGCTAATTTGCTTATTTGTTAGCCGCTGGTTTACGTATTTGCTTTTTTGCCAATTGCTAATTTGCTTTTTTGCAATAGAAATAGTTTACACTGTGCCGGAAGTATATGGAAAATCTGACTACAGTCAGATCTGTTAACTTTTACCAACAGTATTCTTGTACATTTAGTGTTTTTCCAAGAATATATTGGTCAATGAATTTAGTTGCAGTGT